AAAATTTCTATTATTTTCTTGACCATAAATAACTGGTGCACTATTTTTTCTTATGCTCCTGGCAGTGGAATAAAGTCACGGAAAAGAATAGAAATTTTAACGTTTAATATAACTAATTTAATTATAAACATATTTTAGAAACTATTTAAACACATATTTAATCTAAAACGAGTTTTCTCTAACAATGTAAAATTTAGTATATTTATTGTATACTAGAGGAGGGGCTTCGCGCGCCAACCCCCTGCTTCTCATTTTTAAAAGATTTTAATTATAAGAATAATCATTATTAAAAAGTTCTCCATTTTTTTTATGGTTATTTTGACTTACTAAAAAATTAAATTTTAAAATTTTAATTTTAATAAAGTATATATTTTATATAATCTTTCATACAATTTTTCAATTAAAAAACTTTTTATTACGCTACCTTAGTACAATCAAAAATATTGCAGCTATTTAAAATTTTCATTGAGCAGACTAGACTTTAAATAAATTAATTTTAAAGACATGTTTTTAATAAACAGGTAAATATAAATTTTTTGCTTAATTCATTAAAATTAATTTACTAATACAAATTTATTACATAAATAAATAATAATAATAATAATAATAATAATAAATAATTTAATAATTACATAAAACAAAAATTCATTTACAAAATTTTTAGTCTAAGTAATATGTTTTATTTTTTATCATAAACTACATATTTATATTTTATATTATTTTTATTATTGAAATAAAAATTATTTTTAAAAAATGATAAATTAAATTAAATAGGGGAGAGTCTCCAGTTGTGAGACGGGTTTCATTTTTGACCCGTAAATTGTAAACGGGTAAACGAAATTGTAAATAAAATACACCGTTCGAAAGGTAACAGAAATACGCAACTTTTATTAAAAGAAAGTATAGTGTTTCGATGAACTCAAAAAATTTTACGATACATTTTCCGAGCACATCGCTTTTTTCAAAAAAAAAAATGTCTCCAGTTGTGAGACACTCATTAAAAATTGCTAAAATTTAATAAGCTTGACCTAAAACGTTATGTTTAGTATAAATAATTAAATATATTAATAATATATATTATTGTATACTAAATAATAATATTTATTCGCCAAAATATGACTATCAAATAAACACAATTTAATAGCTTCAACAAGAGCATTAAAATTGATTTCTTCTGAATCAATTGACTTTTTTCCACTTGACATGCCCAAAAATACTAGAAAAAAAAATCAAAACAACATTTAAATAGTATGCCTGCAAATTCGTATTTTTCATGCTGCCCAGATGGGTGTTGACACCGTCTCACAACTGGTGATATGCTGTGTCTCACACCCAGAAATTGGCGCTATTTTGAAAAAGGAAAATTAAATTATTTTCAACCGTAGATTGGAACAATGCAATATTGCATCACAAAATATAAGGAAAACACTAAAAGAAAATGCATTACATTTACCTTTTCCAATTAATTAACTTGGAAAAAAAGTACTTTGCATTTATTGAAAAAACGCTTTTTAGTCGATTATCACACACAGTGTTGGTATTTAACAAAAACAGGTTTATATATCCGCTTCGGCGTACACGAAAAAGTTGGCTCATATAAAAAGAAATGTTTTTATATAAACCAATCGGCTTTTTAATATTACATGTTAAAAAAAATTGACTGTCTCACAACTGGAGGTGTCTCACAACTGGAGACTCTCCCCTATATTGTTCATATTATTCTCTTTAATAAAATTAATATCATTTCGTATTAAAATAATCCAAATCTATAAAGGAAATACGGTAATGAAAGGGGTGATCTTTCAAATATTGGTAAAAAAATTTAAACCTTAAAGTTGTAGGTCACAAATGACATAATTTTAACGGGGCTAAGGAGTTAAATGGATTCTTGTGGTCAGAGAGGATTTATGTGAACCCTTGAATTGTTAGTCAACATTGCCCTTAAATTTTACCTAAATTTTGAGGTCACAAAGAATTGTTCGTTAATTTTTGACGTGTAGGTCAGAACTGCCCTTAAAATTGACCTAAATTTTGAGAGCAGAAAAGCCACAGGCCAAGCCTTGATCTGTAGGTCAAAACTGACCTTACAATTTATTTACATTTTGAGGGGAGAGGTAATTGTTTGTAAATTTTTGACGTGTAGGTCAAAACTGCCCTTAAAATTGACCTGAATTTTAAGGGCAGATGGAATTGTTTGTCAATTTGTGACGTGTAGATCTCGTTTGAAATAACTGACTTGGGAGATCCTAAACATTATTTGCTTAGATACATACATTGAGAAAATTGTAACGAAATTTGGCTTTGAGAATGAATTTCCGAAAAATGCACCCATGATAACTTTTTCACAGATTACGGAACCTGCGAAAAAGTCCTTGACATTTCCTGCAGAGAAATGATTGGTAGTCTCTTGTATCTGTCTGGAGCAACTCCACCTGATATAGATTACGCGGTAAATGTTTTAAGCAGATTTCAAATTAATCCGACAGAAAACGAGTGGAACATGGTCAAAAAAAATTTTTCAGTACTTGAATGCAACAGATTTAGGTCTTAAATTTATTGGTAGACGAAATGATTTGATAGTTTATTTAGACGTGAGTTTTGCCGATTGAAAATCCTCAATCCCGACTTGTTGTTTCCTGATACGACTTTTTGGTGATAAAAGTTTTCTCCCTGCGACTTTAAGATGTGATATCAAAGCTGCGTCGATTTGTTCTAAGTCTAACGGTGGAAACAAATTAAGGCATATGACAGATTGTTCATAAAGACTATGTAAAAGAATGTGTTAAATACGACCGTGTTATTGCATGAGTCTCGACTAAGAATCAATTGTCAGATACAATGACGAAGTCTCTCAGCTTCGATGTACATTCCCAATTACGAGACAAAATTCTTAACTACGACAGTTTTTAAATTAACGAATTGTTTTATCATATGACAGTTTTTTAATTTGATTTTGAAATACTTTTATGACTATTTATAATAATTTATGTTCTTTTGGATTATAGTTGAAGGCTTTAAAAATTAGTCATGACCCTTCTTCTATAACTGATGGATGACTGGAGTATTTGCTGAATTCAATTGTGGTGCCATGGATCTAATCCAAAGACTATTTTTATGGAAAATATCAGTATTCTGAAATTATAATAAATAATTTCATGAAAAAAAATTATTTTACTTTATAAATATTGCTGATTGCATTACATATATGTTTTCGGTTATGTTTTTCAACAGGGAGACAACCAGGGCGACCAATAATATTGCCGAGTAATGCCTAGATGAATAATTATCAAATTTGTAATTGTCGGGAAAATATGTAGCGTAAAGTTAAAAAACTCAGATGAACCACATAGACGGCATAGCAGTTTCAAATAATTATCACTATGCGACAGTGAAAATATACTTTTTTGCGGACCTAGCACAACTTGTAGGTCTAGTAAAACTAAGAAAAATGGTATAGGAGAAATTTCCAATACACCTCCAAAATCTCATTTTATGGCCAAAAAACCGTTTTTCTGTAGGTTGATGTAAACAATCACTCATAATTTCGCTAATTTTCATCCGATTTCCAATTTTTTTTTAGTTCGAAAAGAAAAAAATAAAGCTTTCCGACAGTGTGTTGAAAATTTTGCTGAAATAAGAACTGACGAAACTGTAGATGAAAATATTTGCAATTTTTTGATTTTTTCTCCACTTTTTCAACTTTGACGACATTTTTACAATATTATCCGATATTGGGGATTTTTTTCAGTGCATTATTGTTATAGTAAATTTGATTCCGCGTCGAATCAGCTATATTTGAATCTAATTTGATGAAAATTGATAGAGTTATGTGAGTTTTAAGACTATTAAATTTTTTACTTATTTTGTATATATGAGGCATTTTACGTGAAATGTCCTAAGTTGAAATTTCAACTTCTTGAAAAAATTGCAACTCAGGGAATTTGTTGTTCTATCAAGTAGAAATGTGCCCAAAAACATTTTTGATTTTTTCCAAAATTTTGAGGGGGTAGAGGGGATCAATTTCACAAATTTTGCTAACACCGTCTACTTTGTGAATTTTTTCCGAACATACTTTTAATGGGAAAAATTTTGTAGAATATGTTTCTGAAAGGTTTCTTTGTTCTCTTTCCAATGGTCCGTTTTATTTGAAAATAAATTATTGCAAAAGAAAGCTGAGGTTTTTTCCTATCGGCATGTAAATTTGCAGAATGCCCTTTTTATTGTTTTTGAGTTATTAAATTTCAAAGAATAAATTGCGGCGCGCTGCTATTTATTTAATTCTCCAAATTTTAGATAAAATCAAAAATGTTTTTTTGGTAACATTTCTACTTGATAGAACAACAAATTCCCTGAGTTTCAATTTTTTTCAAGAAGTTGAAATTTCAACTTTCGGTCTTTTGACCGAGACAGACAGAGCGAAAGAACCGTTTGTCAGACTCTTTCTAGCACACGGCATGCTTTGTTTGGAGTGAGGGAGAAAAAAAAAGTTCTTACGCTCAACCTATCTCTTTTCATAGCACACGCTTACTCTTCCCATGGGAATCGTGTGACTCGCGTAGTCTATTCTTATATTTCTATGATAATTATTCTAATATGAAAAAAAAATTGGCACATGTATATAAAGATTGAATTTCACTAATAAATTTCTTATTATAATGCTATTTAATAACAGAATAAGCTTAACTTTTTCATTTAAAAATCGTATATTTTTCATTTATTCATATTTCTTATTACTGACAGTTATTAAACAATATTAAATTTATAGTTTTTAGTATTTTAATACATTTCGTTTTAAGTAAATATACTTTCAAAAAAATAAACATTACTTTGAAGAACAAATATAAAATATTTAAATAAAAATTTTTTTTTCTACATTTAATAGTCATAAATTACTCAGTAGATATTTAACGAGAACATTATAAACTTAAGTGAAAAGGTAGGACAAAATATATGTCAACTTAATTCAAAGCAGTTCTGCTCTCTTAATGAAGAAAGTCGGTATTTGACATTTTTATGCAAAACTAGTTTTTATATCACTGGATTCGTTACAAAAAAACAATATAGCTGTAGTTATAATTATGATTCATAAATAATAATTAATTTTAGAGTAAATTAGTCTTTCGTTACTCTGCTTTCGTGAAATCAGTTTGAAAAGTTCGGTACTTGCAGGTATCGACTCTTGCAGTATTTCCAAGATTTAAAAATAAATTTCGAGCAGTAATCGACATTTTGCTTATAGAAAATAAACATTTCTGGAATATTTTAGCGCCATTAAAAAAAGCATAAAAAATTAGTTAATATAAATTGTAATTATTTTAATAAGTTCTTATTAAAATGCTGTTCTTTCCTTACTTTTCATTGCTTCATTTTTTGAAAAATTTAATATTTTCAACTAATGCAAAAGTCAATATTTTACTCTTAAACTGTCTTTATTTACCTTTAAAATTCACTTAATTGATTAAAAACTGACCACATTGTTGAGAAATTGCAATAATTACAAGAAGAGGATACATTTTCCAAAATTTTTAAATTTTCTGTTCTCTTTTGTTTTAACATTTTCCAAGTTTCTCTACACTTTGATAAAAAATAAATTATACCATCGTCTTTCGTATTGAAAAACGATAAAAATGTACTATATAAGAGTTGTTTTCAGAGAAACAGAAACTTTTTACAAATGTTTCAAATCTGGGGTTCCAAACCACCCCAGTTTTCCGTTAGTGTATAAAAAATCATATTTCCGTTCTAGGGTTAAATATCTTGAAATCGCCCTGAATGCAAAAACCGAATTTCTTCATTAGGACGGCAGAGTTATTACTAGATTTTTCTTTCCGTGTATTTTGTTATATTACTGTGAAGATTAGAAGAAAGAGAAAAGTTAAAACCCTGGGGGTTGATAAGTGTAACATTTATTTGTATACATTATTCATATATCTAACATTTGTCATATTACTTAGTGTTGTATCGATCTTATTCCGTTGCTCTCTCTGTATCAGAAGTTACAGTCACCCTTTCCGAGGCATCTGGATTGTAAGGTGGATCTTCGGGTGTGTTATATTTCCCAAGGGCCATGTCTATAAGAGAGAAAGTGCATCCAGGGAACATGGACAGGCAGTTCTGTCCCTCATGACCGGCTTTATGAGCATTCGTGTACGTGTGGTGTTCATCTGGTTCAAACGGAAATACTTTCCTCAGTGGTAACCTGCAAAGTCAGACTTCTTTTAAAATCGAAAATATATCCAGAATCTTAAAGACAAAAATTTCCATTAAAAATGAAAACTGATTGCCATTCTAAATTTTTCATAAAATAAATATATGGGTACCCTTTTTATAGTCTATCATTTTAAGGAAAAACTTAAAAAAAATATTTTTCTCATAGTAACAATTTTTCCGAAAATATTTGCTTGTCTAAAATGCTATATTTTTCCAATGCTTTTACTTACGTCACTCTCCCTTTCTCGAATCGTTTCCAAATTTTTTAACTTATTTACCAAGGAAAAATATTGCTATTTATATTTTTAACCCAAACTATTCAATCAGGGTAAATTTAAAATATAAATAATTTTTAAATTTGAGGTCACATTTCTGAAACTTTTAAATTTTCAAAAATGAATGATTTGTTTTAAGCACAAGCCTTAAACTATATCTTACTACTGTAAAGGGTTGTCATCCTAGGTCAATATTTAGGTTAAATCTAACCTAGTTTTAATCTACACATTTTAGCAATCGACAAATTTAAAAAAAAATAAAAAATGAATTTTTTTCTACAATTTTTTAAACTCTTGAATATTTTTTTAAAAATTGCAGACAAAGTTTGAAACTTAAATAGATGTCATCATCAAGTCACATCATTAACTTAAGACCCAAAAAGATTAAAAATCTTATTCGGTTTGCGAGATATCATTATAAACGTCTGAGCATTTTCAGTCAAAATCTGTACAAAATTAACTAGTTCAATGCATTTGTCCAAAAACATGCTCTGAAATTTATAATGATATCTCGTGAACCGAAAGAGATTTTAAAAATTTTTTGGTCTTAAATGAAAGTTGAAACTTTAAGGAGGACATCTATATAAGTTTTAAATTTTGTATGCTATTTTTAAAAAATATGCAGGAATTAAAAAAGTTTGTAAGAAAAAAATTTCATTACTTAATGTTTTAAAAAAATTTGTCGATTGCTAAAATTTTTGTGTAATTTATTAAAATTTTCCAATGTTTATCATTTAACGTAGAATATTAAATAAAAGCTTTCAAATGGTATATTTGTTAATTTTCTGACATTTGTTTTTACAAAAAAATCGTGATTTAAAGATTAGTATGTTTTTGGGCCATGCGCGTTGGACCGTACCGACAATTTCCGACTGTAGTGTAGAAGTTACAATTTTTTCTAGAAAATAGGCGTTGATTGTATTTTTTCTCTTTAAGTAACTTACCCTCTCCAAGGGTAAATAAACAAGAAAACACCCCTTAATGACCATTCAAAAACAATATTTCACACTGTTTTTTCATTTTAAAATTTTACATTTTAAAACGAGTTATCTTTTGAAGTGAAATCTTACGAAAAAGCAATCCTCATCATTTCCTCAACGAGAGTGTTTCCTTTTGGCATAAGTCGCTGGGAAGCCTCACATAACGCACGTAGGATGCAACTCCTTCCATCGAATCCCATTCTGCAACATGAGAAGCAAAAGAATATCTGCAAAGTTAAAGCTGAAATTTTTGTATTCATTCCCTAACAGCATTCGGATATTCAGCATGTCCTAAGGATATCCAGAAACTATTATATATCTGTAGGATATTTAATGCCAAAAAATCATAAAATATTTATAATTTATTGTCAATTTAATTTCAAAATTTACCTATGCTATATAACGGTCGTGAGACTCCGTGGCTTGCGATCGTCGAGGTTAAGGGGGCAGTCTGGGTCTTTGTACGTATTTCGAAGACTTTTTTTTTATAGTGAAATTTATTTAAACATTTTTAAATTTTTACATATTATTATACATATATTAAACTAAATAAAAAAATTTCTTTCTATGTTTTTTGTTGTTAATAACGAAGAAATAATGACTTAAAAAAAAATCTCGAAAATCTGGTTGACATGATATTTCTAGTCAGAACAGACGGAATCGAAAGATTCAAAAGGATTTTTATAAAACTTGGTATCTAAGGGTTTTTGGGGCCGCTGATTACGAATCTGAAGTCAGTTTTTGAAAATTCAAAATGGCGGATCCAATATGGCGGACGAATTTTCAAAAAATTGTTGGATTTTCATAATACTTGGTATTTAGGGATTTTTGGGGTCGCTGATTACGAACATGAAATGAAATTTAAAAAATTCTTTACGTTACATTCAATATAGCTTTACGTAGTGTTAATTATTTTTTATTTTGTTCAGTGATTAGGATCTGCTATACCTAATAAGGTCAGGTACACCCAGGATGTGCCACGTGAAGGCTCCTTATTACTATTTACATCCCTTTGTTTTTTTTTACTTTTTTTAAGTTTTATTTATTTTTTTATTTTATAATTTTTAAATTTTTTTTTGTTTTTTTCTTTTTAAAATTTTTTTTACGTTTTGTATATGTTTTGGATTTTATAATTTTTAAAAGTTCCCTCACTTTCTTTTTTTTAAATAGATAATCACACTGAAATTTTTCTTTTTCTCTATTTAAAAATCTTCCTTTGTGTGATAAATTTCAAAACAAGGGATGACACATAATCCGACATCACATTCTTTGCAGAAGTATCTTGATTTTTTGCGAATTTTTTTGTTTCCTTTTGTTTTGTGGCAGCAAATAACGCACCTTCTTGTTGGGTGATCCTTTCCATCAGTAGGTGGAACAAATTTGGGGAAATGCCTGCCAATTAATCTACTAGGAGTACTGTCGCCTGACAAACTTTTTTCAATTCTAGGTCGCCCAATTGCTTTTTTAGGTAGATTAATTCCATGCTTTTGAACGATTTGTATAACAATCTGCATTAGGAAACTTACATGTTCTTGGGCTCTGTTTTGATATTTCTTATTTAATATATAAGAGTTCAGCAAACACTGATCAACTAAATGCCTGAACAGTTTTTTATAATATTTTTTTTGCTGAGCTCTCATAATAGAGTAACTGGTCATTCTTTGTTGGTCAGCTTTATCGACCCCTCCCATTGTTTGGTTGTTGTCGCAAACAATTGTTGGTTTTAATTTTTTCGGACCAAATTTGGGTGTTGTTTCTTCAAAAGTAACATCGTGACAAGTGCTTATCAACGATATTTCTTTTTTGTCACATCATTTCATCACAGCCATGTCCTCTTTAGCCCAGCAAACTGCTTCATCCTTTTTTAACTTCGTTTTTCGCAACCCATCTAACAAACCTTTTCTATTAGATCTTAGTGTTCCGTATGCGTCTGTTTTGTGGGCCAACAACAAATCATATAATTCAGGAGAATTATAAAAGTTGTCCATTACTAGGCAATATCCTTTGTTTAACAAATTTTCGCACAGTTTTAGCACAATCAATGTTGTTATTGAGCAATTTTGTTCATTTTTTTCGGTTGTTTTGCCTGTGTAAAGAATTGTTTTTAGAATGTAACTAGACTCACTTTCACACATCATAAAAAACTTCAAACCGAATCTGGCACGCTTTGTGGGAATAAATTGCTTCCAACTGAGTTTACCTTTAAATGCCATCAAACTTTCGTCTATGCTTATATCACGTTCGGGAATGTACATTTTTTCGAAATTTCTATTTAAAATTTCATACACTTCCCAAATTTTTTTTAGCTTAGGATTGGGATGAGTTGCAGCATCATAAGTTTCATTGTTTGAGAAGTGTAGAAACTTTAAAATTTCTTCGAATCGCTGTAAATTCATCAAACTATGGATAAATGGAGTCTCAATAAGTTTATTTTTCAACCAGTACCATCGCTGTTTCGGTTTAATCATTATCCCTTGATAAACGAGAATTGCTAAAAAGACCCAAAATTCATTAACGGTTACTGGTTTCCAGTCTTTCTTTTTGTGAAGTGCAGCGTACCGATTTGTTTCGATGACAATTAAATTAATGACTTCTTCATCAAGAAATAATTTAAAAAAATCTAGCTCTTGCCAAGATGCATCTATTTCAACCGTTATACCAGGATTAGCCGTGAATGGAAACAGAGAAGCATTTATAGGTTTATTTGGTGGCACTTGCTTCCAATCCTTTAACAAAGGTTCTTCTTCATCTTCTTCAGACGAAAAGTCAAAATCATTATCTGCTCTATCACAAGATTCCTCTGATTCATCAGATGATAAATTTCCCAAATCATCGGAAAAATCATCGCTATCAATAGAATTGTCCAACATATTTATAATTGAAGACCAAGCTATTAGCTTGATTTTAAAAACTTAAAATCAATACTAAACTACATATAATTCAAAAGTAAAACAAAAGAAAAAAAATTAATTTTGAAAAATGAAATACCTTAAAAACCTGAAAGAAATAAACCAAAAAAGAGAAAAAATAGCAAAAATAAAAGAAAAGTCAATATGGGTACAAACCTGCAATAATTTTCATACTTGTAGAACTATATATATATATATATATATATATGTGAAATGGTCTTCAAGCAAGTCACCCGTTCTTATATACATTCTCGAAATGATGTCGTTTATAAGAAAGACGTCCATCTAGTGCCAACTTCAGAACTTACAAATGAGCGGTAATTTTAAATGTTTTTCAAGCAACACTGCAATGAGCTCGTTAGAAATTTCGTTTTTATTGCGAAAAGAATAAAAAATCATCAATATATTTCTCATAAATGTTATATGTTACAAAATTTATTTTATTAATATTATATTGCACTTTTTATATGTTTAAAATATTTATTTTTATTGATTATTAAATTTTTTCGTAATACACTAAAAGAAATGCATTTTTTTGTTATTATGGACAATTTATCAACTTATTACGGCCATACGGATTTATGTATACATATTTACCAATTCATCAATTATTTAAATAAATAATTGTTAGGGGAGAGTGATCCTAAGTTGGCCGTGGGCCTAAGTTGGCCACACCCTGCATTTCTCAGAGATGGTATACTGGACGAATCTATAATTTTGTGGTATGATATATTGATAAACCATGATATAATTTATGGACCTAATTATAATCTAAGATTCTTCTACGCATTGTGGGGACAATAATATTGTTTACGACCAAAGAAATTTAATTTTTCTTGTTTTTTCGAGAGCAGCTACAAGAGATAAATAATTAAAAATTTCTAAATGAGTGTGTGCGCTAGTTCCTTTATTTAATGTTGTAATAAGAGGTTCTGTTGATTTTTTAATTAAATTTTTTTTATTAGCGTAATAATTTGAAATTTGTAAAAATCTACAGTGATCCTAAGTTTAAAAAACATTAGAAAAGACATAGTACAAAAACGCCTGTCTCCACAGCCATCCACCACTGCAAATAAATGAAATAAAATAATGCTTCATTTTCTGAATAAAAATAGTTTAATAATGCGTTTTTATTCTCCTAAATGTATCAAATTTGTAAAATTTCTTCGTAATTGAAAAGAATATGCATTTCTTCCTTATATACAAGCGAAAAAAAGTGGTGGACAACTTAGGACCGCTATTTCTGAAATGTCCAAAATGCAGCTTTTCACTATTTATTGTATTAAGACTACAAAAGCCATTCTAAAACGTTCTAAATACCACAAAATTATAGCAAAACGATCTCTGAACACTAATATATACTTGCCGAAGTGATTAAGTTTCATTTTGTTAATATTTTCGACCAATTTGCTTAGGCGGCCAACTTAGGACCACTCTCCCCTATTATTTACTTATTCCCTACACAGCGCACCTAAAAAAATGCAGTTTTTTTTTCTAATTTTGCAATTTACTAAGCTCAAAATTTTTTAACACATATTTTTTAAAGAGGAATAACTCAGTAACAATTTAAGAAACAAGAAATTTTCTTGAATAATTAGTAAGGGACTAATGTATTTTTTCGAAAAATTTCCAATTAAGACGTTTAGCCTAAAATGGCTATTTTTAATAAAAGATTTATAAGTTGGACAATAGTCATTCAAAAAATTTTTTTCGTTGCTTAAATTGTTGCTGTGTTATTCTTCTTTAAAAATCATGTGTTGAAAAATTTTTCCAACAAAATTAAATAGCCAACAGCCCACCCTGTTCCCTATAAGAAAGAAACGTCTAAATTGGGAATTTTTAGATACAAAATTTTTAAGTTCCTTCCTAATTTGTCAAAAAATTTAACAAAGAAAATTATACTATTAAAATAACTTATTTCAATAATTTTTAAAAATAGTCATCCGCCATTTTGAATTTTCAAAAACTGACTTCAGATTCGTAATCAGCGACCCCAAAAACCCTTAAATACCAAGTATTATGAAAATCCAACAATTTTTTGAAAATTCGTCCGCCATTTTGAATTTTTAAAAACTGACTTCAGATTCATAATCAGCGACCCCAAAAACCCCTAAATACCAAGTTTTATAAAAATACAACAATTTTTTAAAAAAATCATCTGCCATATTGGATCCGCCATTTTAAATTTTCAAAATCTGACTTCGGATTCGTAATGAGCATCCCTAAAAACCCCTAGATACCAAGTTTCAAACAAATCTAACTTCAAGAAAAATGTATGCATTTGGTAACCACTTTTCCGGTGCAAAATCATGCGCTAGAGGGTTTATGAAAATTTTTTATTTTAGTTTAGGCTGTAACCAATTATCTATATTTTAATAATCCGTTTGAATTTTTTGATTCCGTTTATTCTGACTGAAGATATAATGACAACCAGATTTTAAAGATTTTTTTTCAAGTCGACATTTCTTCGCTATTAACAACAAAAAATATAGAAATTTTTTTTTTATTTAGTTTAATATATGAGTAATAATATGTAAAAAATTTAAAATGTTTAAATAAATGTCACTATGAAAAAAAAATTCTTCAAAATTCATGCAAAAGACCCAGACTACCCCCTTAAGCGATACCCAGTGCAGTTAGTACTTGGATAGGTAACCGCGCTTCGTCTCTTGCTATAGCCTGGAATTTTCTTACTACTTTCGTAATATATTAAGCGGGAGATTTAACGTCGAGGTATAATGATGTGCACTGCCGATTATTGTCCAGTACACACCATTAGAACTCGGCTGACAATATAACCGGTTGTACCCAGGAGAGGTCTGTAGACGCGAAATTGAGAATAAGGTTGTAGTAAGAAATTGTAATGAAAAATGTTATGTAGAAACACTTGTATATCCAAGTATTGTAGGCTGAAAACGGGTGTATAAAAAATAAATATCAAAATTTAATATAAAAAATTAATCTAATATGACCTTCAGACAAATAATAAAACATTAAATAGCTTATTTAAATTTTTATAAACTATATTAGTTAACAAATAATTTTAGTTAGTTTCACTAACTCCGATTAAAAGTTAATTAATGATTAAAGTCATTTTAACCGCCCATGATTGATCAGTTAAGGATTTAATCATTGATTAACTTTTAATCGGAGTTGACGAAACTGGCCCTTAGGGTTTTTGAAATGTTACTTAGGGATACAAATAGAAAGAAAAAAAATAGTTTTTTTCATTGTCAAGAAAAGTACATTTAAAAAATTTTCAAAGAAGTTGAACTAGAAGATGCAAAAATATCAAAAACACCTCTAGATCCTGGATATTTAAAATCATGAACAAAGGAAGACACAATGACTGACAGTGGAAGATACGAAAAATAAATCAGTGCTTTGCTATACATTGCAGTTAACACAAGATCTGACATTTCAACAAGTATGGCAATACTCAATCAATATAATAAACAACTATCTACAACTGACTGGACAGAGGGAAAAAGAGTATTGAGATATCTAAAGGAAACAAAAGGAAAAAGGTTGGAACTTAATGGCGACAATAACATGAATCAACTTGTGGGATATGCAGGTGCTCTTGGGGATGCAGAAAACAAAATTGTATCTCTCTTTCATCAACGGAAGCTGAATACGTGGCGTTAGCTGAAGCATGTCAGGATGGGATATGGATTCTACACTTACTCAAGGATTTCCAACACCAGAACAAATTACCAATCGTAATCTTTAAGGATAATCAAAGTTCTCTCAAGATAATAATAATACTCGCGGCTATTACTTTATTAGCAAATTGTATGAAGACGAAGTCATAAAGTTCCACTACTGCAAAACTAAAAATATGCTGGCAGATATGATGGCTAAACCACTTAAAGAGGTAAAATGAAAAAGTATGTTACAGGTATGCGCACTGATAGACTACACAATGGATCCATAGAATATCGTTGAGAGGGAGCGTTGGTATTGCAACGATATAATCAACTAGATGAAGAAGGAGACAACATCAGGCAATTTTTATGACGGTCGTCCTAGGTAGATTTAGACCCGAACCTAGGACATTGCTTGCAGTATACTGTCAATTTAGTAACTCGATAGACTCGATGACAGAAAGATCACGAACTTATTTTTGGCAATGTTTAGTAACCTTAAATAATTGAGCTCCCGCGTCCAATAACTCGATCTGCGCTTGAACTAAAAAATTCAAGCCAGTCAAGCCGTCAGAAAATGGAAAAAAATAAAAGTCGGAGTTTTTAATTTTAAAACATACTACCGTATAGAGCATAAAAATGCCCAACTTTTTTGTCTTTGAAATTTTTTTGTAGGACTTTTATTTTTAATAATAATGGACAAAAACTGAATTTTTTTTATTTTTCAATTTCATTGAATTTCAAAACATAAATCGACTTTTCTTAAACAAATCTTAATGAAATTAATTAAAAATTGATATGGTTACTTATCAGGGTCTACCGAAGACGATGAAATGATTGAAACATTAAAAAATGTTTATTGCAAAATTATTTGTTAATATAAATACAGACCTGTCGGTAAATACGTTTTCTCAACTTTGACGAGAAAAAGTGTGTGGTGAACTTTCGAGTTGACACAACTTCCAGTGAGACATTTGTTTATTAACATGTGAAGAAGTTTTTTGGAAATTTTTATTTAAATCGGATGAAAAATAAAGAAGATACATAATGTTTAAAAAAAATATGCGTCGTGCGGCGTTTTGACATTTTGACGCAAGAGGAGAAAACTATTGGAAACTATTGCTATTTTCTGTTGATTTATTTAAAAATAAGTTTATTCATGTATTATATTTAAAATAAAAACAATTCTATACTTTAGAATTGTTATTAATTTATACTATAACTAACTATACTATACAATTGTACAATTTCTATACTTTATATTTTAATATTATTAAATTTTTTATTATTACTTTACTATTAATTTTTAATTTTAAAACACGTGGTTTATTAAAAAACTTATCAGCAGTAATAAAGTAAACTGTATTTTCTTCAAAAAAATACAAGGACCTGCTTTGTTTACATTAACGGTGTTGCGCAATTTCAAACAGTGATCGCCTTTTAAAAATGGCTGCTTGAACGTAAACGAAATTTCAAAAGGATTTTTCTCCCAATTTGGACAATTATTGCAAAATAGGGAAAAATACTAGTTATACTGAAATTTTGTTCTTTCATTTGTGCACAAGGAATTGAAAATCCAATATAATACACGACATCAGGAAGTAAAATGAGAAAATTTGATGTGCCCATTAGGTGCTGCCCTCTGGTGGTAATTTTATGTATCGCGCATTTGTTTAACTTTTTCCTATTTTTCTTCCTGTCGTTGTAAATCTAAATAAATCTTTTACTGCCTATCATATTTTAAATGTATAGAATTGTTTTTATTTTAAATATAATACATGAATAAACTTATTTTTAAATAAATCAACAGAAAATAGCAATAGTTTCCAATAGTTTTCTCCTCTTGCGTCAAAATGTCAAAACGCCGCACGACGCATATTTTTTTAAACATTATGTATCTTCTTTATTTTTCATCCGATTTAAATAAAAATTTCCAAAAAACTTCTTCACATGTTAATAAACAAATGTCTCACTGGAAGTTGTGTCAACTCGAAAGTTCACCGCACACTTTTTCTCGTCAAAGTTGAGAAAACGTATTTACCGACAGGTCTGTATTTATATTAACAAATAATTTTGCAATAAACATTTTTTAATGTTTCAATCATTTCATCGTCTTCGGTAGACCCTGATAAGTAAGTATATCAATTTTTAATTAATTTCATTATGATTTGTTTGAGAAAAGTCGATTTATGTTTTGAAATTCAATGAAATTGAAGAATAAAAAAAATTCAGTTTTTGTCCATTATTATTAAAAATAAAAGTCCTACAAAAAAATTTCAAAGACAAAAAAGTTGGGCATTTTTATGCTCTATACGGTAGTATGTTTTAAACTTAAAAATTCCGACTTTTATTTTTTTCCATTTTCTGACGGCTTGACTGTCTTGAATTTTTCAGTTCAAGCGCAGATCGAGTTATTGGACGCGGGAGCTCAATTTGTATCTCAATTTGATTGCTCAATTACCTTTATTAATAAACTATTATATAAGTGTTTTTAACTAAAGATATTTTTTATCATTTATTCAACCTTTCTATTATTTTACTCTAAGCTTCAATAATAATTCTAACAAACATCAATTGATATATTTTATTTTTTGTTTCCAAATAATTATAAAGAAAAGAGACAAGGAATTGGTACGATTATCGCGAGAAAATTTGTCTAGTCAAATTGAATAAAAGGAAAAAATATAATTGTAGAATGAGGAAATATTTTAACTTACGCTTTCATGATGACTTCTAATTTATTGTAGAGATCTCTTCTATGTCGTCTTTGTAAATAATGGTAATTGTGCTTGTAAAATTTTTTATAATTCGGCGAAACATAATATTTGTCATCTGTGTTCCAATTTTTATACTTGTAATAATTATTCTTGTCTTTCATGGGAATTTTTTTGACTTTATTTTTTAATTTAAACATGTCCTTTCTCAATGCCAAAACTGGTGCCGATTCGGGTTTACTCTCATTAGGTAAATCGTATGAAATTCCCCAATTCAATCCCTCAGTGAAAATATCATCAGGCGTTAGTGTATGAACAGTCATACATAGTGCAATCTGAATATTGTTAATTTATCATTGATATTTAAGAATATTGTAAAATATTATTCAAATATACACGGAGAAACTTCTCATACCACTATTTATAAAAACTGTTTTAACATTTTAGTATGTTGCTGTTTCATTCTATGGAGAAATGATTAAGGTTATAGAAATTTCTATTGAGACTATTAAATATATGCATTTAGTAACATAGAGATAATATAATAATACAGGTTGGCCAAAATAAAAAAAATCCTGGCTAAAAACAAAAAAAAATTTTAATTCAAAGGTTATAACTATTGAATTAAGTTGGGGACACATTTCTGCACATTATTGTAAAATATGAAGAAGTAAAGGGTCCATTTAGAGTATATACCTATTGTAATGGAACAAAATAGAAAATACTTCTGAAGGAATGTATATTAATGTACCATAATAAAATTAAATATTCTTATTATTATATTACTAAAATATTCCATGAAGTAAGGTCATCTGATTTGAAATAATTTTTTCGAAAATTTCAAAGAAGTATTAATAAGTTGTCTATCTAAAAGATTCCATGAAACTGTTAATTGGCATGTTTACTTTATGATATAAGAAAAAGGAATACGCAAAAAGATCTATTAGCTTTTACCAAATGATGTTCACTTATGCCGAGTTTTTTGGGAAATCTACGGAATAAAACCTACGTGAGTTATCAGAAAGTCGTAAATTGATTCTGAGATGTCCAGATTATTTTTGTATAACTTCTTTATCGAAATTAACGTAAAATGGTAAGTATTAAAAATAACATACAATACCAGGTTGTGTTAAATTTACGACCAAACATTTAGGTGATTTTTGTTGAATTTCTTTCAACGGTTAACGATACGTGTTTTCCTGCAGACGAATTTTACTGAATTTGGTGGTTAATTTTCTGGTTATTAGTCTTTGAAAAAGTTTAACTTCTTGAACAAATTGATCACAACTAAATAATATGCTTGTAATTACTTATTGACTTGTTGGAATTTGATTTTTTATATTTCAGATAAACTCTCTATGTATAAATTTCTGGGATTGAATTGAATTATAATTTCCATAAATCATCATTTTCTTTAAAAATTGATTTAATTAGACCTGAATGTTTATAACTTAACTGACAACTTTCTGATAATCCATGTCAGATATATTCCATTTATTTCATAAATGAGTCTAGCAGAAGTAAAAAAATAAAATTAAAAGTAAAAATAAAAAAAAATTATATTTACTAGAAAACTTTATAAAATTTCTTCGGAAATATCTACGCAAAATTTTATGCAGTCACTCCCCAAATTTTCCCGAAATCTATCCGCTGAAAATCCGGAAATTCCACGTGGGTTGACCAACAATAATGCACATTGCACCCATTAATTCATAGATTTTGCTACTAGGAATTAAAATTATTGAAATTGTTTCAACAATTAAAAATAATGAGTTTTGATTACTATTTCAACTGGAATTTACTTTTAGATTTCAAATACAATCGTCCCTTTGTGCAATGCATTGAAAATCCCATCATTCTAAAGAACTTTTAGAATAAAGATAACCAAATATATTGAATATTAGAAGAAGAGTTTCTCCGTGTAGTAACTTACAGAAAAACTGGAACCTTCTGGAAAGACGACATATCTTCTTTTCCTTGATAGTGATTGTATTGCATCACTACCCACTTCAATGCAGAGCAAGCTGCAGAAGATTAATAAAATGTGGAGGTTCCAGTTAAAAATCATTTTAGACCTGTAAATAGATTCAATTAGTTTTTAATCATTATTTAGTCTGCAACCCGTAAGATTTAATTGCCTGACTAAAAGTCATTTTAATCACTGATTCTGAAAATTATATTAAGCTTTTGTACAATTCAATTTAAAAAAAAGTTACATATGGTGTTTCTTATCTATTTTTTAGTCCTCTTTCAGAATCTGTAAGAAAATTTAACTTTTGACTTAAAAATTGAAAGTTATTATTGTTTAATAAAAATTAGCAAACATTTTTGGGTTTTTATTTCATTAAAACTATATTTTCGATTGGAAATCACTTCTGGAAAAATTTGTAATGACAAAATATAGGGTCCAGAATGTATAACCTTTCGTTTAGGTATTATTAGAAATTTTTATTTTTATCCCATATGCACAAAAATGTTGCTTTCTGATAGCTGACGACAGGGAGTAAAGTCATTCATTGCTTCGATCGTAAAAAAACGGCCACCATTTTTATACAAATAAATGACTTTTACTCCCTGTCGCCTGCTATTTGAAATCGCCACTTTTGTGCATTAGGAATAAAAAACATCGTAAGTAACACGGGAATAAAGGCAGCCAATTTGTTTACGATGATTTTTGTAACTGTTATCGACAAAAAACGCTAATTCGGTCGGCTGGTGGGGACTGTGGGAATTACATTCAAAAGCGCTAGAGTGGGGACAAGTCAGTGTAAGCAGAGAGTTAATACTATTTTTTAATTTCAAAATGGCTGCTCAAAAATGGCAGCCAAAATGTCTAAAATTTTGAATAATCAGAAAAACAAATTGCAAACACCTTCTCTCATCATAAATGACTAAAATTAGTATAAAACTGACATCTATGATAAAATTTTATCAACATGACTAATTTAACAACATTATAAACAATTTTTATAAACAAATTGTTTTTTGAAAGATGTGTTTAATGTAATACATCATAAAAGTTACAAGTACACATAAAATTACATTACATATTACAAATCCAAACTATGATGATCACAAACTGCTTGTATTAATTTTTGAAGTATTCAGGATGGGTTTGCAGGACTATATGTATATCTTTCTCACATTTTGTAAAATTGATTTTAGAATGAAACAATCTTTTGGAATATTGATGATAGCTTTCTAGGACTTTATTTCTTTTCCAAGTTTTATAAAACCATTTACTTACTAGTATTCTTAATATAACACTAAAGTAGATGTAGAAAAAGTTGAACGAAGAGACAACAAATTTTGACAGACAAACAATCGACGTATCGAACATCTCTGTCTTTATATAATAAAATAGAGTTGCCAGAATGTTTTCAGTTCAAGTGAAAACAATTTTTTTTAGATAAAGTGAAAATATTTTAAAAGAAAAAATTTGTTGAGTCAAAATGAGAACTTTTTGATTGAAAGTAAAATTTCTTTGCAAACGTGAATTAGGGAAACGAACCACTGGCAATTTTCTAACATCACTCTAAAATTCTACATGGTAAAAAAATTTGTTTTGATTTTAATTTATAGAAAGAAGTCATTCTGAACGTATTATCCTTCTATGAAAAATTATATTATAACAGCACGAAGAAAGAAGACTGACCTCTTTCACTAAGCTTTTGTTGATTGCAAAGCTTATTCAAGCACGTTTTCAGATCCCTGTCTATTTGTAGAAACATGAAGAATTGCCTAGTATCAAAATTACTCATCGACCATTTTCACTCCTGTTTCACCTAGAAATAATAATTTCCTGTTTCCTAAAGAGCTTACTGAACTGAGTTACGAGATACTTCCACCAAGAGGGATCGATCTTCTGTCTGGTACAGGAAATCTTATATCTACTGTGGTGGGGTGGTAGTACTAAAACACTTTACTTTTTCATTTTCTACCCCTGCTACCCTCAAGGAACAATCACCTTCTCTCTCTCTCTTTCTTAAAAAACCCGATACTTTATCCTCATATCGAAACCTTATCTCAGCTTATAAGATTAACATTAAATGTTGCATACTCAAAGGGTCTTCAAAGCATGTTTTCTAAGCAATTCGTAAATTTAAAAAAAATTAGTAAATTGTTACTGTAAATTCAAACCTCAAAAAAACAAGTGATTAAAAAATTTTTGTGGACTTAGAGTCTAGGGGTTTTTGGGGTCGCTGATTACGAATAAGATGTCAGATTTTGAAAATACAAAATGGCCGATGCAATATGACATCCTAAATGTTATATTTTTAAAAACTAAATATCAAAATTTTTTTCAATAAACGCAACAAATGAAAAAATTGCTTTCAGTAAAAAAGAGAAGTTCAAATATTTTTTTACTCGACAAAATTCTTTATTTTTTTAGGAGTTAGGACTAAATGCTACATTTTTTAAAAATAAAATATTCTTACCATTTTTTTAGTAGATCAACGAATAAAAAATTGAGTTTAAAGGAGGAGATTTGTTGCGTTCATTGAAAGAAATGTTGCGAATATTTCATTTTTAAAAAGTTTAACATATTTTGTCTAAAAAAGTAAAAAATATTCTTATTAATAATTATTAAAGGAGACAATAATTTAAAAATGTATACAATTTATATTGCAATTAAAAATAATAAACTTGAGTAATTTTAATATCAAAAAGAATTTCTCTCTCATCATTGGAAGCAGCACACGCTATAGCATATTGCGTCAAATGCCGCGCGTGGCTATAGATGGTCCCTTGCTCTTTCAGAATATGATTTTAATATTGTTCACAGAAAGGGTTCGTCAAATTATGTCTCTGATTCCCTATCAAGAATGTCTGAAATGTCCGTTAGAAATTTCTCTGATAAATTTCTTACTTTGAAGATAATTAATGACAAATTGTATCATTATAGACCCAATCCCCTTATTTCTATCAATTATTTTTTCTATTTCTATCCTTATTTCAATCCCCTTATTGCATTGGTTAAAGATTCAAATTTGTGGAAATTAGTCTTTGATGATGATTCTCGTAAATTAATCCTGTCTGAATATCATGATGATCCTCAATCTGCACATCTTGTAATATATAAGACTTATAAGAAAATTGCATTCAGTTACTTTTTGCTTGGTTGTTATAAAGGTGTTTCAGATTATGTAAAGAGATGTGAAATTTATCAGAAATGTAATGTAGAAGAAACAGTTCTTTATGGTATGATGGGAAATATAAATATTGATGAACCTTGGCAAATTGTTGCAGCTGATATTATTGGTCCTTTGTCAAGAAGTAAATCTGGTTTTGATTATATTCTAGTGATGCAGGTTTTATTTACGAAATGGATTGAAGTCGTCGCTTTAAGATCAGCTACTGGTAAAAAGATTAGAGACTCTTTTGTAAAGTTAATTATAAATCGATGGCGAACACCTAAGATTCTTCTTACCGATAATAGTACAGAATTTGTGAATAGTGTAATTAAATCGTTAGCTTTGAAATTTAAAATTATTCATATAACATCTCTTCCATATTATACTCAAGCAAATCGCGTTGAGCGAGTCAGCATAGTTCTAAAAACAATGATTGTGTCCTTTATTAAAGCAGATCATCGCACTTGGGATGAACACCTTTCTGATTTACATTTTTCTTATAATACTTCTTTTCATTACACATTAAAAACTCAACCAATTAACTCTCTTTCTCAAAGTAAAACTCTTAATAATGTTGATATTGCCCCTAATTCTATTAAATTTAAAGTTAAAGATTTAGTATTAATTCGTAATAGAACTCTTCCTTCATGAAGTCAGTACTACTGTTTAAAATGAATTTGTGGCCAAGACTCATATTGATTATATGAAACCCATTGTATCATCTGTTTAAATCATGATTTTATTTTTTGCTTTTGGACTTTATTTATTATAGTCTCTTTTATCGCTGTAATTTTAAAAGAAAGATATCGAAAACTGATGATATCAATGATTATAATTCTGTTGTTGATGAATGCAACGAATTACGAAATGAATACAATGTTTTGTTAAAACGTTCTGTTTCACTAGAAGAAGAATTGGATAATCTAATAAAACAAAGAAAAGAAAGAACGCATAGACGCTGTCTGGACTGAAAAAGGTACTCTAAGGAATAAGGCTTATCCCGGATGGATCTACATCAAGCGTTATAGCAATATATTGCAGAAAATGGGAAATCGTTACAAGAATTTGATTCCGTCACTTTTAGAAGCTTACGATGCCAAAGATGAACTTCGCAATATTAAAGGAAATTCTTCAAATGTAATGGCTTTTCCTTTTTTTTCAGAAATTTCGACCCAGACTGATTCACTTGAAAAGCAAGTTAAAATTGTTTATGTTATTCTTTTAGTTCCTCCCGTTTTGATTAATGCTTCAACGCAATTTGACCGATGATAAACCTATGCCTCATTGAAAATATTTTCTCGAGTTCGAAGTGGAATTAAAATCATGACCCAAACCATTTTTGCACATTTATTCTCGATTAAGGGGTTACGCCACCCTGAAATTTTCAAAAAAATTTATTTTTTTTTTTTGCTTAATTTCAAAGTTTATATTCTAACGAATATTTTGAGATGTCGCCGAAGACAATGTCTCACTAATTACAAAAGTTATGGTCATTAGAAGTCAGCGCGGTGGGGACGCGCCGAGAGCTGCTGGAAGCAGCGACTTTCTATTTTCGAATGGTCTAGGGGGCCCTTTCATGATTTAGGAAGGGTCCTTTTCATTGTATCCCTTCCATTCTTAAATAAAAAAAATTATGGCCCAGGAATTGCTGATTAAATAGTAAATTGAAAAATTTTCAAGTTATAATACACTAAAGTTATCCAATTTTTTATACGGTAATTTTAGCCAAAAAAAAAATGTCAATTTTTGAAGTGCTTCCATTTGCGTAAAAAATTTTTTTTTTTAAAATGGCTTCGTCACTCTGTTCAAAATTTATCACTTTTTAAGAAAAATATTGTTTTACTTGTTTCTGACAAAAATTGAACTGCCAATCATGTACACCATCAAGGAGTGCTCCGGAAAAATTGATCCACGCCAATAGTTATATCTCCGCCATTTTT